ATGGCTACAACATTATAACATGGGTGTAAAATCCCTCAGTTGTCCAGGTAGAATCCATGGCAAAAGGAGAAATTCAATTTGTTAACTGTACAAAAGTTTATTTGGTCAAATTAGTTTCGCAGCTCATCCAAGCTGCTTCTTCAGTCGGTCAAAATGCTGGTGGACACTTCCTTCTATCTGCCTGAAGGGAGGAGCTAACTACAATGAAACTACTCTGAAACTAACACGTCTACCTGTTTATTGTTTCTTTTAGTAAGTTAGGCCTGTTGAACTGCACTGAGTGTTGGGTCACATTAGCATAATCATTCAGGGCCATAATCAGTGCTTTCACATTTCTGGAACTGGCTTGGCTATTCCTGTTGTTCTTTTTGTTTAGACCTAATAAACATTTGTCCACTTGACAAATTGAATTTCTCCTTTTCCCATTATAACATGGCCTGAAGCTCACAAGAATCCATGTCGTGTACTACTGGATCTTTAAGTAGAATGAGTGGTCCAACAGGCACTTAAAACAACAAAGAATAGGACATAAAAAAACTGAGGCACAATTACAACAATATTAGATACAGTCACTTGAGCATTTACACAGTTGTAGACAAGAAGAATGTACCTCAGTGATAAAGAGACTACAAGAGTTGTGTAATTCAATCTTGCTTTTCATGCTCCCTCTCCATGTTAAGTCCCTCATCTCTCATTCATCCTTTCACATTTACAAATGTATTTCGAACTCACAGATGATCGTCGTGAGCTGAATGTAGCAAGTGGCAGCATTACTAATTCACAAAATGAACATAAGTACTTTGTCCTTGTTATTATTATTTTATGAGCTTTGCCAGCCGGGTGCATTAACTTTCCTCTGCAGTTATCCACTCCAAAGGTTATCTGCACTGTATTTGATCTGTGATTCTTTAAAGGTCCTGTATTATGTAAAATTGATTCTTGTGAGCTTTTAGTAATGTTAGAAATGTCATTGCCTTCTCAAAAACATACCTGGAATTGTGTTTTGTTTCACAGCATTATAACATAGATTAGATATTAAATATATAATGTAATATGGACCCTTTACACTTTACTTTTACGTATTCACATATAATCAGTAGCACAGCACTTCTGAGTTGTGAATCAAAGCAGCATTACATAGTATTTTTCTGGTACTGTGTCCGCTCTCATGGAGATGTGCCTGCTTTGCTTGGAATGTTCCAGTGTATAGATTTAAATGCTGTTTCAATCGTACTATCTACTGTTCCTTGAAATTTTAGTGTGAACTAGGTAAATCTACTAGCCTGATTCATCAACCTGTTTCACTTTGTGGAAACCGTCTGACCTCGTAGCATTAGGATTTGTTCGCTCGATGGTAGACGGGTACTTTTTTTTTTAACCAATCACTGCTATTTGGTTGTGACAGTTGTTATGCACCAAATCCGCAGGAACAAGGGCGATAACGTCTTTTCCCTTGATAAAATTCATTGTTTCTGGCTTTAAATCCTCGATCTCAGGAATCTTTGCCAACACAGAATGTATGGCTTCGTCTACATTCATCTCGACCGCTTTGTTTACTGTTGTGCTGTACCACAAAAAGGACCCAGACAGGCGCTCGAGTTTGACGTCATGTCTTCACAGCTCTTCGCTGATTGACCTGGTGTGTGGTCTACAACTTCCGGGGTTCATGCAAACCGTCTAGTGTATTCCGATTCCTGACCTAGTCACTGGAGAGAAATTAAATTGAGCAAAGACACTAGGTGGCGCCAGCCTGGCTATAAATCTGCAGCTTTCTGGTCAAAAATGCCTAGAAGTTTGGCCTGCCTTCAGTGACCTCTGCAATTTACAGTAGTATTAGTCCCACTTTAAGTCCACCAGACCACCTGCACTGAGACCTGTTTTGTCTTTCATTACTGGTGGTTCAGTAGAACGCTCTGTCTGTATTGTTAATATTATTGTCTTGTGTCTTCTTTCCTGTAAAATAACAAGACTCTATCCAAGGTACACCTCATGGGATCAAACTCAGCCTCTCCAGAATCACCACTATATTTCATAAAACAAAATCTAGGCTTACTCTCTTTTAATAATGTCTGTCTTGTATTTATTGTATTGCATTTTACAAGCCCCACTGTTGTCATTACTCATTCACTTCACTCTTGGTGCTGGTAAGACGCTGCTGCTGTCACGGATTTCATTCTCAATTTTGATCGTAAAGAAAATACTTGATACTTGATATTGATTTCAGTACCACAATGATGAATACAAAACACTTTAGTAAGCAAGAGTATAGACTTCACTTTCCACACAGACTTTCTTCAGCTCTGCAATGTTGTTTGGCAGGAGAGTAGCTCAGTTGGTAGAGTACTCTGATCTGAAAGTTGGCAGTTCGAAGCCCACTCTAAACCAGAGCTATAATGTTACGAGTACTTAAGAATACAAGTAGCAGGGGTGGGACCAAGTTGTTGTTTTGCATGTCTCAAGTCTTTGACCTCAAGTCCGAGTCAAGTCCCAAGTCAAAGACAGGCAAGTCCAAGTCGAGTCTCGAATCACTGGCTCATAAGTCCAAGTCAAGTCCAAGTTGTCTGCATTGAGCTTCAAGTTATTTCAAGTCTTTAAACCAAAGTACCAAATAGATAATAGATTTTTGTAGTTTATATAATTTTTAAACTAAATTGTACTTAAAAAGTCTTGGTATATATGTATAAGAATATTTATATAAAAGTTGTAGAAATGTTAATTTGTCCTTTTTAAATGCTTAAGAATGAGTAAGATAAGAGTGCAAATTATTATGGTCAAAACGGAATTTAATTTATCAACGAGTCTAAGCATCGAATCTTCTCAAGTCACAGGGTTCAAGTCCGAAGTCACTGATCTTCAAGTCCAAGTTGAGTCCCAAGTCTTTGTCTATTTTATCAAGTCAAGTGTCAAGTCCTAAAAATAGTGACTCAAGTCACGACTTGCAAGTCCCCACCTCTGACAAGAAGTTTAAGTTTTACTTTTGCTTCACTACATTTGAGAATAGTCACTATTGTGTATAAATAATGAAACAGTATTAGGAGGCTGTTTCTTTGTAGGGATGGGCAATATATCAGTACCAGTATCGGTATCGCTCAATATTTTTTTCTCTTTTATGCGAACATGTAACTGATTATTTTATATCACGAAAATACATTTTGTTACATGTTTGTCACATTATATTTACAAAGTGAAAAGTTTATTTGTGATTGTTACTTTAACTGAAGATAAATTTCTGGGCCATGCTATGGATTTTAAATGTGAAATATTGGTATTGGCAAATATCTGTTATCACCACAACAGCAAGCCATTTACTGCATATCAGTATCTGTTCAAAAAAAAAAAAAAATTTATTTATATTTCCTATTGCTATTTCTTTGGCTTTTTTTTTTTTTTTTTTTTTTGTAACTAACGAGAGTATATTTCTTTAGCACATTTTGCACTTGCACAAAAAGATGAATCCTCAATCCCTAGATACTCTTTCCTATTGTGAAATTGACTGATTGAATTATAAGACTGTTGCCTTGGCTCAATTACTCGCTCACTACTTAACTATGTGAGATTGCAATTTTTCACTTGGCTTAAAGCTTTTAGGGTGGTGTATTTTTAGACGCTCATTCATTCCCTCTGGGCACCTGTGCATGACTGCCTGTCCTTTGTCTCCCGCAACAGTAAACATCAAGAATACGTTGCCAGAGACAAGTTTTTTCCTCCTTGCTGGTATATTTGGATTCTTCTCTTGCTGCTGGTGCATCGGATCATTGCAGTATATCACTGGGAATGTGCCCTGGCTGAGCACATAAATCGGATCTGACATTTCCTCTTTCTCTCGCGTGGCTGTCAAAGCGATATCTTAATCCCTCGTCTCATAAATCGGCCTCAAAATCAACAATAATCTAAGATATATAAAGTTTTCTGTACTGCTTAATCGAAGGTTGTATATTATGCTTAATTGACTTGACCTTAAAGCTCCACCATGTTACTTTTTAGGTGAAAAAATATGTTTGTATTGCCCTCAAAAGTTTTGAAAAACATGTGTCCTTACTGTGATCTTGCATCTCCACAAAACCACCTCCTGCTTGTCTCCAGATCAGATCAGATCTAATCTCCATGGTGATGTTCTTTCAGCTATAATATTCCACAAATTATGGTCTTAATGAAAATGTATTTATTTTTCTCTCAAAGCACAGTAACTTAATACAAATTTGATCAAATTTTGTTATGCATCTTATTTATTCTACAAATAACAACAGAACAGCTTTGTAAGAATAAAATTTCAAACATTATGAGACATCCTGGGTCTACATCAGTCAGTAAATAATCTCATTACATCAAGTTAAAACTAGCAATGAGAAATTCAGTTCTGTCAACTGGACTAAAGTTTTTGATTGAAGATGTTTCGCAGCTCATCTAAGCTGCTTCCTCAGTTCGGATCCAACCTGGACGACTGAGCGATTACACAAACATCAAGAAAAAGGCCCAACCAGGATCAGAGCCGATATTCAATACTAGTATCATATCGGTGCATCCCTATTAATGAATAGGTTGCTCTACTGATATTTTTAGGTCCATATGTAGGACTAACATTGATTATTTTACCTAAATTGTGTCATAAAATTACATTTTATTTACTACAAACTCTCCCATAATTCTTTTTTTTTTATCACAAACCTTTAAGAGAGCTGTGCAGTCACATTTTCAGCAGATATCTCTTCACACTTAAGTTTTAAAATAAACTTTTGTGCATATTTTTAGGCAACAGTTCGACTAAAACAAAAGATCAGCCTGTCCTGGATATTAATAGCCGATAGCCGATATGCTAAAAAGTCCAAATATCAGTGTATCTCTAGTTTCCACTACATTTTCTGCACATTTTTACTGTATCCTGTCATTGATTTATGGTGTTCGTGTGTGTCTCTAATACGCTGTCATATATTCTCTCTTCTCTTGCCTGAGTCTTGCTGACCTCAGCTGCCATAAACTGACATGTCTTTTCTCTTCTCTAGGTTGTTCATGAGATTGACACTCTGACCGGGGACCTACAACTGGAGGAGGACGGACTGACGGACAGCTCCAAGACGGATACGCTCAACTCCAGCTCTAGTTCTACCACCACGACCACCACCGCCTCCAGTTTGGAAAAGATGAAACTATTCCCCGAGGATTGCATTTTTAAACTGACTTCGCCGATAACTCCTGTTGCCATGAATCCATCGACTGTGTTAACGGTTTTGAAAAAGGCGCACCCACCCTTACCTCCGCCCAGACTGACTCCATCACGGGCCGAGGAGCATAACACCAAAAATCTGCCTCAACCCACTTTGATTTTATCAGGGAATTTGACGAAATCCAACGGTTCTGTTTTGCGTAATGGAGGAATTTTTACATCCAAATCTAATCGCGATGTGTTCTCTTCTACGCCTTGTTTCATTTCAGGAGATAGCGGGATTTCGGAAGCAGGGCTGGTCCCGACATTACCAAGACCTATGCCTTTGTTGAGACACGAAAAGAGCAAATGTCCAAAAGCGAAGCAAAGAGAATCACGTGAGCGGGTACGGTTCAGCGAAAAAGTTCAGTATCACGGCTACTGTCCTGATTGCGATCTCCAATACGACGTAGACGAAACTGAGCTACATTTGCAAACAGATCTGAATGATTTGAGACTCAGCCCTATCCACTGCTGCACTTCTTCGTCACCTCCTCCTCATCCTCACCCTCTCCCCATGCTAGAAAATGGCTGTCTCCCACTTAGCCATAGCTTTCCTCCAACTACGAACGCTCCCTTACCTCAAAAACCCCAAAAAACAATTCTACGAAAATCAACAACTACTACAGTTTGACGCCGGACCATGATTTTATGTCCAACTGAAGCATTCCTGAATCATTCATCAGTGTTTTCTACTAAATGACGTGATTATCCAAACAGGAAAAATGGTTTGGGAGATATTTGATGTCAATAGAAGAAGAAAAGGAAAGCGTTGCCATGGGCGCAGAGATGCACAAGCGCAGATGACAAACCAGCGGTGAGTAGCTACATTTATACAGCCAAGCACAATCAGATAACTAAAGTAATCAGATAACGCAATAATTAGATCTGATTTTTCATGTGTGCACAAAAGAAACTGGATCAAAAACACCCGGTGACATTTGATAGTGATTTTTTCCCCCATGTATTTGAGCAAAATGTGTCTTACCCAAGTACAGATATATAAGCAGCTCTTGAGGTCAAAATAAGTAAGCTGTGTATTGCATCTTAATTATAAAGCGTTTAACAGTCCGATAATCAGGAAGTGTTCACTTAGCATGCTAGTTTTTGTTCAGAAGTTACCATGGTGACACAATGCACGCATTATCAAAGACTGCTAAAAAGTTTTAAGATAATCTAAAATAGGGATGGGCCATTTGATTAACTTTTTTTAATCGTCTGGAGAATTAACAGTCGATTTTCGTTTAATTATTAACGTTTTTATATTAAAATAATCTTTACTATTACTAATCTGCATAAATAAGCTTAACTTTACAACATATAAACCATAACCAGTATAGAGCCACATCAGCCCGTTTGACATTATTATGTGTTTAATGCAGCTTTGCCACATTTGTTTACATTTTATAGAAATAAAACTTAAAACCGCTGATAAAAACAGCTTTTTCCTTGTGCACTGATGCGGTTCAGCTTCTGTTAGACTAAAGGACACGACTCAGTGGAATATACAGTATGAGTTCTTTCTGTGACAAAGGGATATTTATGATGATGATGGTGAGTCTGTTCTGTGTGTGTCATGTTGGAGTTGGTTCATGTTTTCAGAGATCAGACGTGTGCAGGCTTGGCGCAGCTCTCATTTCACTCACTTTATTTATCTTGGGCACTTTAATTTGGCTAAAGTTGTGATGAAAATACTGAAAAGTGTTTGTCTTTTGGACGCACGCGCACTCAACTTTACGTTGCAGTAACCGTGATATTGTGTAAACATGCACCATGACGAAACCGGGATACTCAAAAAACCCGATCATACCTGGGACACTGATGTGCATGTAAACACACTCAGTGAGTGGTACAGTGACCTCCAAGGAGGTTTGCCAGAGCCAAAACATGGAACTGTGAGGTTGCAACTCCAGTCTTTGTACTGTCAGACGCAGCCTTGTCTCCGTACAGCAACCTACATTTGGTTTGTTGATTAAAAATGAATGTGATCAATGAAATTCTTAATGATCACTTAACGATTAGTTGACTAATCATGCCCATCCCTAGTCTAAAAAGTCAATAAAAATACAAAATCAAATTAAACAACACCTTTTCAAGAGCCTTTAATCAATACAAGCATTCATTGTTCTGTTTAGATGTTTGATTTTCAACAAAAATGGTGAGAGTGACTATCCGAAAAACTGTTATGCTGTTATGCTAATGTTATCTAGCTTGTGACTGTAATTTTACGTCAGAGACTTGTTCAAGAGGACAAATTAGCTCACTTGTTGCTAAATCTGTTCTTTCTTGTCAGATTGTGTTAAAATAAAGCTCAGATTTAAGTCTAACTTGAGTGACAGAGCTTCAGACAGAGCATGCCTACAGTTAGCATCATACCCCAAGGAAATGTTGGCAAACTCAGCTGCAAAGTATCAATAATTGCAGTTCAAAATTGCTTATAGTGGTTTTAAAATGTTTTGTAGCCTGTGTGTGTGCGTTTGGAGGAGTTGGAGGTTGAATGGGGAAACGCTATGAGAGCAGATATTGCATAACCGTCTTTACATGAGCTTCACATCTGTTTGTTTATGTGTATTTATATTTCAGTCTGAAGGCGCGCGCTGTGATGTTTGCCGGGGATGAGCAATGAGTGGAAAATGCTTTAGACTAGACTCTTAAAGGCTAAGTCCTGACAGAAGCTCAAGAAGTTAATTGCGCAGTGCCTCTTGACTTTTTAACCTGAAACTTGCGCCTGGCTACAAATAATCAGAGTCAATGACAGAAACAGGGCTGGACAAATAAAATTTTAAGGGGGGACTTTTTTTTTTTTTCTCAGCTTATACACATTAATTTGGAAATAAATAATACAGAAATAAGTTTTTAACATTTAATTCAAATTTAATTCTATTCAAATTGCATCCATAGACCTCCAAAGTTTTCTCAAAATGCATTTTCCCCTCACAGGGACATAAGCATCACCCCTTAAACTAGGAATTACATACACCAAACTTTCCAATCTTCTACTTAAGATTTTGGCGAAATGTAAAGAAGATTTTTTTTTTAAATATCTGGATCCAAACCTGTTTTGTTAAAGTTTTACCCCCCAAAAAACAAGGTGAAATTTCTTGTGAGATCTAGTTTACTTAAATACTAAATAGGAAAAACATTTTTAGTATTTAAAATGTCAGCAAAAAGAAGCAAGAAATTTGACCTGGCTCTTTTCATGTCAGATACTAATCACTTTTAAAATCAGATAATCATTTGAGTAGGTATCAATACTAAAAAAAGTCAAATTTACAAATACAAATCTGTAACTCCAGACTTGTGTTTTGTTGTTCTGATTTATAGTTATGTTGTTGTTTACGTGTTTTAAAATACTGTGCATAAAATTAACCTTTTATGCACAGCTTTTGAATGATCTTGAGTTGGACCAGAACCTAGACTAAACCTAGACTTATCAGAAATTACACACATATAAGGCCACACAATCATATAAAAGAAAGTATTGTTATTTAAGGTTGAACATCACATTCTATTGTCTAAATAAAGAGGTTTTTGTTTTTAATTATCACCATGGTATCAGAATTGAGTATATTCCTTAGTATTTAAATCAAATTTGAAATTTTAGTATTGTGACTACACTATTCAGATCTTATAGTGTTTTAGAACAAGCGCCAGATCTGATCTATGCTTGCACATTGTATAATGGCAGATAAAGCACTTTACTTTCTATTCCACTACATTTTAACTTAATTTAAGAAAAGGCATTTTTTTTTATAATGTATTTTTGCTGTGCCTTCATGGTAGACGTGGAGCAGCTGAATAAATGCAAACCAAGTCCAATCCAAGTTTATTTGTATAGCTCATTATATAAAGACGACAGTTTCCAACGAAGCTTAAGATCTAACAGTTTGTGGAATTACATAGAAAATACATTAAAACTTCTCATGAGAAACATCAGAATATTATAAAGGTGCACTGTGTAACTTTGGGGGTGGAGGGTCCATCACCTGCCTCTATCCATGAAGATGTTGCCTTGAACGTTCCACAGGACGGATTTACACTTATTTATCCCTACGGAGACAACAGATGATACCACAGGGCTGAGTTAGTTCTGTGAAGAGGTAATATGCAGAATGTATTTTCTTTTCTTTGCGTTCCACCATGTTATAATGTTTGTCCATCATCAAAAACATGCCTGCAGAGGATTTAGATGCCATCCGTGCATGTTTCAGTAATTTATCAAGCTCTCCTGGGAACTGTTCGAACCCTCCTTACGGATTACCTGTAAGATCCTGTCCCCAATGTTCTTTGGTGAATTTTCAAATCAATAAAAGGTGTTTATAGCAGTTAATACCCCAAGTAAAATAACCCCTTTTTAATATAGAGTCTAGCCTTATTTAGTCTCTTCAAGGCAGTACAGTTATTCATAAAGGCAACATTTGAAGACGCCCAGTATCATAAATAGTACATAGTGTTGGAATAAAACTCTTAATAAACATCAGGTTACTATTGGAGATACTACAGCTGTTTTAGCACCTTCCTTCATAAATACTGTGTCCATGTTCTTTGTTGTGAGATTAACCTTTGAATATTTTATAAGGTTTTTACATTTACCCACAATTAGGGAGTTATTTTGGGGCTGTGCTTGGAATATTAAAGATATTATTGTGCTTGTGTCTGCTGCATTACCTGACCAACCAGAGCCACAACATGCTTTGACTTTACAAAAAACAGTGGATCTAGAACTGTATCTTGTCTTCCAGATTGCAGAGGGCGTAACTGGCAGGCAAATTAGCCATTCAGAGAGATGCATGGTCCGTTCTAGTAAAAAAAAAAAATAAACATGGCATTTTACATGTAAAATAGGGGGAAAAAACAACATAAAGGGCTGAGAAATGGCACAGACCAGCACAGATTTTCACAGAATCAACAATCGTAGCACCAAACTAGCACAAATTACTGTACTTAGCTCAGGTAAAAGAAGTTTTTGTTCTGAATGTTGAATGAAATGCGTTCTACAAATCAGTGGCTGCGGCTGGAGGACGATTTATGGTCCGATTCCAGACTCTTCTAGATTCAAACTGAATGTGCAATGTGCTGGTGAGGCAACTATAATTATAATTTATGACTGGATCATTATGAAACAAGTTAATAAAAACGTGAACATCAAAAATAAGCGATTCAAGATTGCTCAAACATGCACACATCACTCCAAAAACAACTTCGAGGGTAAATGAAAAGGGGAAAATATAACATGATTAAAAGTCAATTTTGCAAAATAGGTCTGCGTTAAATCTATGACGTTTAACTTATCTTTTCTAGCATATTATTACAAGAATTTTTGTTTAGTTTTTCACACAAAAGAACCTTGAAATCCTGCGTTCTTAATTTTGCTCCTCCAGTTCTCCTTTAAGTTACTCATTTTGACATTTGACTTTGAAAACCTTACCAAAAGTATCATAGAAATTCACCAGCAGAAACAACATGAGAGATGTCAAAAAGGCAGGCAGCTTTATCAACAAAATCCATTCTCATTTGTATTATTTCTGCGGTTTTCACATCAAATCTCACTCTAAATCCCTTTACAACCCCTCACAATACCAAGAACTTACTTATCTGATGCTTTTGGTGGAAAAATGATGCTGGTCTATCCACATAAGCTGTTGACTTTACTTTCAATAACATCTCAACAGTTTCCAGCTAGTAAACTAATATAAAATTGAAATATGTTTTGCTCAAGTCTGAATTTATGTGAGCTGTTTA